CTACTGAAATCCGCGAGACCTCCGCTGCGTTCCCGCTTCATTAAATTGCAGGCTGGTTGCAAGGCACCAAAATCGGAAATGGCTGCAATCGAACTATTAAATTTGTGACATACGACCGGCCATGAGGATGCTTCCCGCGTTGCTGTGAGCTGTCGCAAGAGCCTGAGTGGAGTTATTGTGAGTCTCGTAGTGCAAGCGGGTCTGGAGAAGTGTTTTCGCTATCCCCGGATGCCCATGCTTGATTCGAGAACATGGTAAGCGCCAGACCGAGTCTAACAGGGTCTGCGGTGGTTATGGACCACTCATTTGAAGAGTGTCAGCTGTAGTAGACCCAAGAATCATATTCGTCAGTCGTGGAGGAGAGTAGAACCTATCTGATCCTTCCTGCACCGTCGTGGCCAACAGATGTCAGGCACACAAGACACGCCTCCGCTGCTCTCCGGCATTTAGACGGCAAGGGGTAGGGAACACGTTATTTTAGTACATCAATATCTAGTTACGCAAGGACACAGGAAGCGCAACGGTTCCAGGTCAAGGAGTAACTAACAATCTGTAAATGTTTGTTCGTAAAGAAGCTTGTGTTGACGATGACAGCGGGCAAGTGCGTGTGAAATCCAGAACGCAAGCCAAAACTTATACGTGTTCAGAAAGGTACTCCTTAATTGTGAATGGGGAGATCTGTCAATGGCCAAGCTGGACACAACTATAAGATTACATGCCAGCTTTTCAAACGATTTAATCAACATTATTTTTGTTGGACGTCTTACATGCTTTTAGGGTATATACTAAATACGGCATTTCAAGCTTATCGGAAATTGGGATTGCTCTTTTTTTCGAACCCTTTCAGCGCAAGTCAAGTGTGTGTGATGGCTTATCGGAGTCAAAGGCACATGAGCTGACAACACGTCAGAACCAAGGCATACTAGCTTCACCAATATGACTCAGGCGTTAATAACAACACACCTCTGCTCGCAACCAGCTCATTGATTTGCGTAAATGTGTATGCGATATTATTGGACATACCAACACAGGAAATTAGTGCGCAGAGACGCATTTCATACGGTATAACATAGGGAATATGTACTAAAAGAATCGTAAATAGCAGTTAACAGCGACAAAATTGACAGGGTGAACACGAAGCATAATGGTTGGGGGAGGCATGGCGGCTGGACAATATTCGACACGAATTCAGCGCTCAACATTGGCTACGAACTACATTATAAGCATGCTGATGGGGAGAACGGCGCACAGACGTTATCATGAGGAGTAGGGTTAGATGCAGGAGGAGACCAGCGGATGGCGATTTAATGCGGGGACAGGCCTCCTTTTATACAGGAAAACCCAGGGGCTTCACGTACACGTACAGAGGGTTCTTGTCTTAGGATTAGGAAAGGAGCTTTCGACAGATTAAATGCAGAGCCGGATTAGGATGGCTGGCAAACATCAATCAAGGGGTAGTGGCATTTAACAGGAAACCAAAGGAGGGCCTAGATGACTTGAAGTCGGGGTCTGCTGACGAAAAGCAGGCATGCGCAGCAGCGGTATAGCACAGGAGACTGTAAAGTGAATAAGACGCCAAGAAAGCTTTCTAAGTGGCCTACTGTTTTATTACACATCAATTCATCGTGAGGGGCCTCAGTGTTACGCATAGGAGCATTCAAAGCGGGTGGATCAAGCGGCCCTCCAGTCCAACGCGAAAGCCAAACAGAAACAAACGAATAACGGTAAGAAGGTTAACTATACGGGAAATCTATGATGAGCAACAGCGAACACGGCGTGCTGAGGTTGGATTTCTGTTTGATTCCGAAATGCACTCAACTAGCCACTCAGTCCACGCTGGACTATAGAGAGAAGTGAAGGATTGAAGTGACGGGATCATAGAGGCTAATCTATATTCTGACAAGCACAAATCTCGTAGGCAAGTACAGCGGAGGTACCAAGTGCGATACTTCAGACATAATACAGGCAACCAGACTACCCGGTCCATCGTGGTGACAACTGTGAGATTCAAGCTCACGACCAGAAAGGGCATGATAGTGAATTTCATAGTTGCCAAGATGGAGCGGGTACTCCTGCAGACGACAATAATAACGACACCACCTTGGATAATAGGGATGTCGTCGATGAGTGACTACTAACACGAGCGAAGCCATTGTGTACCAATGATGCTACCCAGGCCGGCCCTAAACCACAGCATCGTGCCCTCCTCAAGGCCTCGCTCCAAACCTCCATACACCCACACGAAGCAAAAAAAAACACGCATAGTAAACATTCATCACTCTCCCATATGTCCTACTCTACACCTACTCCCGAACGACGCCAACAGTCACCTCGACCTCCACCCCGCTCGCAAAACCAAGCGCGAGCGCCCCGACGCTGCCGAGCGCAAACACCTTGCGGACGCGCTCGCTCGCCCACCGCGTGAGCGCGAGCACGTCCGCGTCCCCAAGCTCCTTCTTGACATGCGGCGCGAGCGTGATAACCAGGCTCGGCGCTTGCGTTTGCGTCCGGCTGTGGCCGTTCTGACTGGAAACCGGGGAGTGCGAGTTGAGGATGCTGCTGCCGTTGGCTCCATGGTCGTGCTCGTGCTCGTGAGGGTCGCCGTTTAGAAGGAAATATGAGTCGGACGAGTATGAGTGCGTGAGCGAAGGTATCCGCGAGTGTCCATGCGAATGGCCGTGCCCGTGCCCGTGCTCATGGCCATGGTCGTGATCGTGGTGGTGGTGGTCATGGTGCTCGTGCCCGACATTGCTGTCCTTCTTCGAGCGCATCCCAGTCCCAGGATGGAGCTTGCTATCTGACACAGAGATCTCAACTGGAGCCTGCCCTGGTGCAGCGAGCTGCCATATGTGTGGCGAAGGAAGATGCATAACGTGTTCGTGGTGCTCAATCTACAGGGTAATGAATCAAAATGTAGTCAGCGCCTGCGTTCCCATTTTTGCCACGGAGTATCCAGAGAAAAGCGCTCGTCGCAAAGGAGTTGCGTCTTTCCGTGTTCCAAACTGAAACTGCAGATCGAAGTCGAAGTACCAACTCACCTCCCTAACCACCCTCCAAAAGCTGTCCAAGCGCCCCACATCCCGTCCCTTAATCCGCGCAGGCGGCGGCGACGTCTGGAGGAGCACCGCGCCGAGCACGACACTCGCATGGTACGCGACGTTGAACGTGACAAAGGTCTCCACGCCCGCGAGCACTAGATCCAGGATGAAGTGGTGGTGACTAAAGGTGAAACCGTGGCGCAGGCAGCGGGTATCAAGAAGAGAGATAGAACATTATGTTAGTTATCACGCTTCGAACGCCACGGCAAGCAGAGACGGACCTGTCCAAGAACAGGCTTCCGAGGAGGAGCGCGCTGCAGAATGCAATCGGCGGCAACGCGTACGGGTTCGTGAGCGTCCGCAGGAGGGCCGACTTTGGAGGTGTTCTTGAATCAGAGCGGAGGGACAGGGGAATACGCCAGTTGGTCACTAGCGCGTATATTGTAAGCACCATGTTTTCACAATAACAATACGAGCAATGAACGAGCGAGGAACTCGTCTGCCGTCCGATAAGGGAATATGGCTTACCTCCCGCCAAACTCTCGTGGTGCCCAAACATCAACGAAGTGGAGAGTAAAGTGACAAGCGTCACAAGAAGTTGCAACACGGGGAATGGCACACTGAAAAGAACGAGTTAAGCCTTGAATCGAGCCGATATTAATGTAATACAACAATTGCATCAACGAAAGAAGTAAAGCAGTTATTCGTCCCCACAGATTTCAGCTCTGCCAAAGAGAAGGCGAAGAGCCAAAAGCGGACTAGATCGCAAACTCACCCAAAGTCCGGACTCTCGTCTCCGTGATGGTGGTGGTGGCCCTCTGGTGCGCTCCCGCTATCTCCGGCGGATAGCAACACGTGCTCAACGGTCTCCTTGCACACATAGACGCTCGCGAACATGAGATAGCAGCACTGCGTGAACGCGAGCAGCGTCGGGAGCCGGGCGGAGCTGTCGATACACAAGTGAGTGAGTATCAAGCAGGTAAGCGGGAGGGTAGGTGAGCAGAAAGGCAGGTAGATAATCAAAGTATTATGGTAGGGAAGTGCAGGAGGGCAAGGTAGAGGGTGTGCAAGGACGAAGGAATGAGTGGAATGGAGAGAAACTCACGCATAGCTCCGGCTAACCCTCATCCCCCTCTTGACGAGCGGGGGAATGCCCACTCCAAATGCATCAAAGACAACCCAATACCCGAGCCCCGTGCACGAGAGCGACCCAAGCTGCTGCCCGCGCGCCCACAGAAGACCGCCGAGCACGAATTGTCCGACAGCAGCGAATGCCGCGGCGTTGCCCGACTGCGATACAGCGCTTACACTAGCACCATGATTAGGTGAAGGGCTGGGCGTCGCGCGCGGCAGCGGCGGTTCGATGCCCGAAGATGAATTGGACGTGGAAAGGAACGACGTGTTGGATATAGGCGTCCACGGCGATACCGGGGTCGGCGTCGGCGTCGTGCGCAGGTCTTCTGGCACTTTTTCTGACAACGACCCGTTCGTGGACGATGAAGGGGTCCCTGTCGACCCGGGCTCGAGGAAGGAAAAGAAGTTGTGCGAGAGCGAGTGCTTGTGATGGTGTCCGCGTCGCTTGGCTGCCGTTGACGCTGGAGAGGACGCGCCGAGAGCTGGACTTCCGCCATTCTCGTTCGGCACTGTCGGACTACCCTTTCCAAACGTGAACGTCGGCGCGAGCTGTGCCTTGACCGGCGCATGCTCGTGCGCATGCGTATGCCCGTTCTGCGCACCGACAATAGGCTCGGAATGCGATGTTGGAATCAACAGCTCAGGCGGCGGCGGCGCGGGTGCCTCCACGTCTGGCAGTTTCTCGTCCTCGTTGATTGTTGCATGCGGGCGCGGGAAGAAGACGGAGAGGTTGCGCGAGTGCAGGCGCGAGTGCCGCCGCCCGTGTCCCCCACCCCCTGGAACTGCTGGCAAGGGCTGGCCCTGGGCGAGCGGCGAGAGGTCTGGGGTGATGGAGTTGGGGCTACGGTCTACTCGAGGGAAGGAGAACATGGGGACGGGTGTGGAGGCTTGAGATTGAGGTTGCGCATGCGGTGTGAGAGGGGGTACGGGTGGGCGGTCGAAGGAGGTAGCGAGCGGGGAGGAAATGGAGGGTATGTATGGGCCAGAGACAGAACGGGCGCGGCTGTGGGCGTTCAGGAAAGGTGGTCGCAAGTTCTGAGGAGCCCCGAACGACTGGCCGCGTGGAGAGGTTGGCTGGCCTGGCGTCGAGTAGACAGAGTTGAGGCTGAGACTGGGTGAGCGGGCGTGATGGGACGACGTGGAGGTGTGGGAGGAGCTAGACGAGAAGGACGCGGCCGAAGACGTGCTCGACAACGAGCTGGTCGACGTCGAGGACTGCATGCTGTCACTTGCAGCCACGCCTGGACTTGAGTGTATGCGGTTCCTAGGTGGTGGTGCTGCGAGGATCTTTGGTACAGGAGGAGGCTCGCTGATCATTTGAGTTGCATTTTCCATATCTTCGTCGTCTTTACTTGATTTTCTGTGGTGCATTGTGGCATAAGCTTGCTAACTAAAGAAAGAGAGTGACAATGAAAGCAGACTATTAGAAGATTAAGGTGCAATGAAGGAAAGGAACGACTTGGGAACAGCCAGGCCATGTCTCGATGCTCTCCGCCCGACCGCACACCACCCGCTACTCCTACCGAGATCACGTGCATTTTGTTTTCGGTTCGGGACCGCGCTAGTCTTGCCGCCGGCCCGACTCGATGAAAAGGTTGGCCTTCTCTGTGTACGAGGTTGCTCGCTATGACCATTCATATCAGAAGTACGTACGTAGGAGAAAGGTCAACAAGACTAGAGAATCAATAGAAATAAGAATAATTTCGCTCCACTACTACAAGGCTAACAACTGATGTACACAGAAACAGTGTACAAAAATATCGCAAATCGACGGGCGACGTCCTATCCGAACTTCGCGACGTATTCTATATACAATCAACGTCTCATTCCCATTATAGTGAGGTCGAACGGCAAGAATAAATGAAAGAAGGTAAATATCATATCGTCAGAAGGTAGATTGGAAGGTAGGCGTCTTTGGAATGTCATCGCTGTCAGGTTCAAGAACGGGCTTAGTCGAGCTCAGCGACCGGTGCGACTGCCCACGCAGAGAAAGAAACCCACATCGTCAGCTCCGTTTATTCTGTATTAACAAAGAAATGCCACACTCACATCTCGCGCAGGCAGATGAACCATCGTAAAGTTCTGAAAGTGCTGTGACGGCCGACCGGGCGAAAACTCGTTCACCGTCGTCCGCACCGGCATCGACGACGTCGGCCCATTCGAGCTCAGGTGGCTCTTGGTCCCCTCCGAGCCGCTTGTCCTGCGGTTATTGAGGATCACGAGCAACGAGTTGCTATAAATCTTGGAGAGCATCACCGCCGGCAGGGCGTAGTAGATATCCGATTTGTAGGCGTTGAACAGGATCAGCACGGTGATCGCGCATGCGGCTTTTCGAGAACGTGAGCGAGAGATATGTCATGTGCGACTCGTGTGCTTACCTGAGGCCATTCCGGTCTCGACGGTCAGCATGATGATCTTGTTGATGACCGAGTTCATGTTCTGGAACCCCGTGCGGCGGGTCGACAGCTTCACAAGCCAAGTCAGCCGGTGAATCAGACGTTGCTGAGCCATCCGCGACTCACAATCCAGGTCATGGCGGAGAAGATCGCGACATCGCAAACGACACTAAGTACGAGCCACACCTACAATGTCGTGAGGAAAGTGTGGAGTTTTATGTGCGTGATATGCGACATACCATCACTGGGGCGAGATCGTTCGTGGTGTTGCTCCCAACGTCTTTCGAGTTGGCGGTCACAACGATGAGACCAGCCGCGATGGCAGCCGCACCCTGCGTCACGGATAGCTATGTATGCCCAAATATATCTATGAGGATAATACTCGGCAGACCAGAAGTAAAACGCACCAAAGCGATAAAACCGGCAAGCACACGAATTTGGCTCAGGATGTATATCCGGTACGCATAGAACAGCTGCGTCATCATGCTGACTACATCGGCCACATATCCTCGTCAGCCCTTATCTCGTGCAAACGCAGAAAGAAGAGGGAGAGAAGTGACTCACTGATGCCAACACACACAGGCATCGTAAGCCACGTATAGTACGCTTCCGCGACGGCCGCCGGGTTGCCGAACGCGAGTACGAGCTGGTGATACGAGTCGCGCGTTGCGATACAAATCTGGACCGTCTCGATCAAGAATGAGCCATATACGAGCGTCTTGATCGTCAAGCCGTCTTTGAACCCCTGGGTGTGGTACGAGTCTGCGAGGGCGCGAGCAGACGGTTAGTGTGTTTGCTTTCTACGAGATAAAATGGGAGGCGGGATGAATGAGGGATACGCACAAACTTGCATCGTGAAAATGCCGTAGAGCCACCAGTTTAGCTGGTAGCCGAAGTTCTGCAGGAGAACGAAAGTCAGTGCTTTGCGAGAAAAGAAGGAATGCGGTGTGCGCTGGGACCCACATAGGTAGACAGGCTGCTCATCCGTCCCTGATCAGCACACACCACAAGTGCGGTCGAAAGAGGTACTCACGCATGATATATGACAGGTGGGTATGTTGGAAGAGCTGTAGGCGCCGACATCTTGCAATACAGGTGGGATCGAGCAAACGAAGGAGTGAGCGAGGAAGGAAGAGGAGGAAGAAAGATGTAAAGACAGGCAGAGGACAGCGGGAGCAGAGACCCTCGAGTGCGCGAGCTCCACACCCCACACCACCTTTAACCGCCTCTGTTGACGTGATGATACAGTATGCAGAAGAACCCAACAGCCGCTCGCCGAAATTCTCCTTCAAGCGGCTTCCGCTGGGTGAGATCGAGCGGGAGCACTACCCGGATTCGGTGCGGACTCGAATCGCACGTCCCATCGCCTGTCAAAGTTAACCATGGCACATGGAGTGATCATGATCGACACGTCGCCATTCGCAGGGATGCCGCACGTCGGCTCACCGCCTCAAAGGCTCAAACCGCCGGAGAGCCGGAAAAGCAAAGACGCTGGCTGAAGCTGCTGATATGGTTCAGTGATCAGTAATTGATGTATGATCGGGAGGGTCGTTCGGTGGTATTGTGAACATGTTTGCGACCTTTGCGTTTCGACTAAGTTTCAGAGACTCGCTGGTGCAGGCGAGCCTTCCATGTAGCGTTGACACTCTGCGCGTCCGTCGGAGCCGCGAATTAATATTGGAGAGTGCTTGAAGGGACAATTGGTCCTCAGAGAAAAGGTAAAGCAACGCCAGCTTATCAAGAGCGCATACAGTCAAGCATCGAGACTTCTGCACATGTGATAGATCAGAAGAAGCCGATAGCAAGGGAATAGGCTAATCTAAACGCAAAATCTCGCCAGTGATATTCCGGTGATGATGAACCCATGCCAGTCCGATGTCAAACGCTGGTGATCGGACAATGATATCCATCATGTGGGACGGGCTCCATGCTGGACACTTGCCACCTTCCAAGGAAGTACGTACGTTACCTGCTCACGATAACTTGGCAATGAAGCTTGAGGACTGGAAAGAACGAAACGTGCTGCTCACAGGGATACGTTGAGCTCTGCAAGATTGTAGCGATGGCATCGTCTCGAGTCTCGACGCAGTTGGATGCAGAGTTCAACGGGAGGGAAAGCGTCTCGGCTCACCCGTCGATCGTGGGAGTAAGTATCGTCAGCTCGGCACAGCCACTGCTTATCCTGGCAAACCTTAGCTTGACCCACCAACCCATCTGAGACATATGCCAGCGCCGCAATTTGCGACATATGTAGCGACTAATCTCAATCAGAAACTTTAACCTTGACCCTGGATGGCGACCTCCTACACGGAACAGTAACCGACGCCGGATGGTCAGCTTGCTCGCATAAATCTTGGACCATGTGCGGGTTCGACTTGGCCGCGGCCCGTCGGAAGAAGAAAAGAGAGAACACGAAAGTCCCTGGTATAAATATCTACACAACACATGTGTCCCAATGACAGAAAGTACGGGTTTAAGGGTTCAGCTGTGAACGACACCGACACGAGGAGGGTGCGCAAACATATCATCAGCTCTCCGCTGCAAACCATTTTAATGATGCCCACCACGACGGTGCTTATTCACCTGTTTCACAAACGTCGTCAACAGCTGCACATATGCCGACTGGTTGTCTATATGCGCCGCGTGCCCCGCGTTCTGGATCGTCGCCGTGGTCAGGTTCGTGAAGTACGGCTGGAGCGCGTTGATCGCGCTCTGCGTCACCACCTGCTGGTCGTTCGACGCCGCGACGATCATCGTCGGCAACCCGGCCTGTCCGGCCGCGAGCAGCGGGCCGCCGTCCTGCGGGCGCGACGTCGCGCTCGAGCACTCGAAGGGGCCCATCGAGAGGCCCATGCCGTTCCACTCGAAGCGCTCCTCCCACGGGATCGCATCGGGGTTGATGAACAACGCGTTGCCGAACGCGACGCGCGTCGAGAGCGAGGTAGTGACGTCGGTGTCGGATGTGAGCGGCCCGAGGAAGCTCTGGAGTAACGCCGAGGCGCAAGCCTCGATGAGCGTCTCGTTGATGTATGGGAGCGGGGCGACGTAGAAGATGCCCGCGAGCGGGTTCGGGTTGATGTTTGCGATAATGTCGGCGGCGGCGGTGGCTATAAGAAGATGAGTCATCGATTCATTCGGATGCATCGTGCGCTGGACAACGAGAGCGTACCTCCAAGACTCCTGTGTTCGTTACGAACGGTGATCAGCACTGAGCCATTGATTTTGTCGATAAGTAGACGCTTACCATCCAACTAAAACAGGGTTCTTGACACCGAATGCAGAGGCTACCGCCTGATAGTCGGCAGCGAACAGCGCCGACGCATATCCGTCTGAACTCGTCGGCTTCCCGCTTCGTCCCTCTCCGCGGACATCGTAGCGGACCTGTTACCACAGACCCGTTGAGCATCGTTATCGCGGGCCAGCACTATTCTTCAGTGGACCACTTACCATATAGACCGAGCTCAGCAGGGTTGGGTCCAAAAACAGGTTATCCCACACCGCACCAGAAAGCATGAATCCATGTACGAACACCACGGCAGGCTTCGAGCTGTCCCCGACCGCCTCCGCGTAGATGGTAAGGCCGTCCGACGACTGGACCTGCTTCGTGACGAATGAGGACGCTGTGGCCATATACGCCATGGCCAGCGTGGCCAGTGTCTTCATAGCGAAACGCATCCTAATTCCTATTCTTCCTGTTGGATGTCTGAGAGAGGTGAACTTGCCCTGCAAGTGCTAGGTATAAGGTAGGTTCGAGATCAACAAAGGAGAGTGTGGATGCAGTGACTAAATGGTGGTGCGCAGCGTCTGGCAGGTACCTCAGACAGCAATGGGACCGGTGGTTATGTACACAAACGCACACGAAATGGCGGTTGGGTAATAATGCACTAGGTCCGATTGCAACCTGCTGATGAATGCCTGGTGCCTCGCGTATCCTAGCTATCCTGGGACGCTTTCGGTGATGCTGGGTGCCACTAGGGTGATACTGCACGCAAGCAGATCGGCCCAACGCCTCCCACAGCATCCCTCCCAGTAGCGCTCCAGCGATACCACATCCCCGTGACACGTCAGGAACGCGTGTTGTGCCTCTTGCGCATCAAACGATGTCAACACTATGACACCGCAGGCGCTCGCAGCGCTGCTGAATTGGCGTCAAGTTCGCCCTCGGATTTGATAGATGGCGCGTTCTACCGTAGTTACGTAAAGATTTGTTGATGGCAGCGGTCCTGATGGATGATGACGAAGGCGCATTCGTGCTAATCTATCCCGATAAGCAATTCTCCGGGCTCCAGAGGTCAATAATAGCAATGGTCCCGGTACCATCTTCGTGGAGGTCGGACAAAGGCCGGGCCGCCGCCGCCGCCTCGTCCGCTCGCACAGGAAAAGCCAGGAAGGGAGGCACAACCGCCTGATAAGTAGGTGGGATCTTCGGGTGATGATGTGATGGATCTGCTCTGAAACGTGTGGCGAAGACCGGTGCGGTTGATGAAACGCGGGGCGTTCCGACTCCGAGCCTCATAATTTATTCCGCCCAGGTCCAGGTCCGGCTGCAGATCGTGGCGCATGCCAGTGTGCCATAGTACTTGCTGTCCACACTATACACTTGTCGTTTCCATCTCTTTTCCGCACTCGGGACCTCGGGAGTCGGGACTACGGGCACTGCGGACTGGATGGGTGGCATCGAGAGCTAGTATTCGAGAAGTCCGTATACAAAACCAAGACCAATAAACAGATCCATCCGTAGAGTACAACAGAAAAAGCACAGATCCTCTATCTTCTACATACAACAACAGTGGCACCCAGCGCTACCATGCGCTGTTGACGGTGCCACCGCCTTCGTCGCGGTATCAGCTGGTATCATATCAGCCGCGCACAGTCGGCAGAATAAGTTACAGAGATGCGATCGAACAAGGCCACGACAGTGTTACAGGCGTGTGATACTCCACTCGAGGAACATCAGCTCGCCGTCGAGGCTGCCGTACGGGCGGAGCACCGCGTCGGTCCTGACCGTGCCCTTCTCGAACACCTGCCCGTTCCAGAGCTCGTCCCAGCTCTCGGGCGAGTGGCAGAAGTACTCGAACTCGGTCGACCACGTCCGCGTCGCGCGCTTGCCCTTGACGTGGTGCCCGCCCTGCGCGCCGCAGATCACAGACCCGGGCTCGGCCGACAGAAGCACGGCGAGCTGTTTCGCGAGCTCGAGCTGTTTGTCCTCCTCGAACAGGTGGAAGAGCTTCGACGCGTGCAGGACCGAGACCTGCCCGCGCAGGTCGTTGAGCGTCTTGGCGTCTTTGAGGTTCGCGATGCGTTCCACGGGCTCGGTCGCGGGCGCGGATGGCGCGAGGTGGGCAGGGTCGAACACGTCTGCTTGCAGCATGTGCGCGGGGAACGTCTCGGGCGTCGTCCCAAACATCTCGTGGCCGAGCTCCAGGAACTCTATTTTCGGGTCGGGTCGTAAGAGAGGATTACTCGTTAGTAACAGCGGCATGGCGGATGATTGAAAATGCGCACCTCCTTTGAGATCGGAGAGAACCACGTTCTCTACGGGGAAGCCATCTGCAACCGCTTTCCGCGCGTCTCCACCAACTGCGAAACCAGAAGTAAAAGGTTAGTTCGTTCCAACCGGACTTGAGGCGTGAGGGGGCGGTACACGCACAGCAGCATGCCAAGTCCATCAGGATAGCGTTAGGTTTCGTCCGTGCGATCTCCAAAACATGAGGGTATACGTCCAGTCGTGACATGTCGAGACTAGCGTTTTCACGGTCAGAAGACGTACGATAACACATCCGACGAACAATACTCACTGGGTGAAAGTGAAAATACGGATGCACGGGTATGGTACAATCTAAAAACAGAACGAAGAGTGGTCAGCTATCCGATGACACGTCAGACATTATGCAGGTGGAGACGAACGCTATAAGCCTTCTCCCGCACGGTCAGAATGTGCTTCTTCAGCTCCTCGTCGTCCTCGATGCCCGTCGACAGCTTGAAGAACGCGGCCGCGTCGGGCGAGATATGGTACAGGGTGTCGTCCAGCGGAGGTATGCTCGTCATGCCGACCTTGTCGTCCCACTTGTACTGGAGGGTGAGGTCCTCGCTCGGCGACTTGATGTGGACATTTTTCTCCTTGCGGCCGTGTGAAGACATCTTCCTGGACGTGAAGAAGGCGATTGCGCGCTGGAGGATGGCCATGTTGGAGGATGAGGAGGGGAGGAAGAGTAAGCAAAGGTAATCGAGAAACGGACAAGGAAGAGAAGGAGAAGGGGAGGTTGGGTATCGACGAGGAGGACACAAGGGGACGCGCTTAAGAGGGAAACACAAACGCTGTGACACAGCGCGCGATCATGAAAGAGAACCTCACCGCGAGGGACGGATGGGATTGGCGAATACAGTAGATAGGCGCTGTGCTTCGTACAAGTTCCCTTACCTCGGAAAGGCGATGAAGACCCAGGAAAGCGAACTGGAGTGTGAGAGCGGCGAAGCGAATCAATGATGATGCGATGTGGCCAACCTCCACGAGCGCAAGGTTTTAAGGGGGCCGAGAGGTCCCGCGCACCCCGAGACCAGCTCGCTCGCCAGCTGAACGCATTGATCTGCAATATTCTGAAATGTTGGAAACGATGATTAAGGTCGCATCGTCTTGCCCCGAGATGTCTGCCCATCATATCTGGACGCGAGAGCGTGATGGTTCATTAGCGCGGATAAACGTATGTACATATGCTTACACCTCTGAAAGATGGTACGAGGTTCCTGTCGGAGTTGACGGGTGTCAGCTGGCAGCAAGCCGAGATCAATTCGATCATGTCAGACGGCGCGAGTAGGCGATCTTCAAAGGCAGAAGCGTGAAGTGTGGTGATATGAAACGCAGGGCGCGCGAACTCTCTCCAGCGGCATTTCTGTTTTTGCACGTTCATCATGGCACATGGGTTAGGCGGCGAAGTGAACGGAGTGGTCCCTCGAATGTGGTTGGGTAGCGAAATGGAAGGTCCTACGGTAGAGGCTCGGTCTCTTCGCCCTGGCTGTTCTTCGAATAACATAGCCGAAGAGACAGTTTCGACCCGGGGCATTGGCGAAACCCAAAAAGTGCAACGTCAGCAGGTCGCGCATGTGCACATTGCACTTGGCTAGAACAGCCAGCACCATCATCATCATCAGAGTCCATCAGAGAGCGAATTTGTGGGTCATAACCTGTGATTTCTGGTGATGATGGAAAACTGTGCGGAGGGGCTTATGGAAGACGCGGGCGATTCAGAGCCCTCGTACTAAGCCTTATCGGCCCCGCGTTGGCTGCGGGCTCGGGTGCGTCCATCAGACGTGCAAGGCATGGCAGCAGAAGCACCTAGGACAGATGAGAGGGAGAAATGGAGATGGAGAATATGTTGAAGCCGAAAAAGCTTTTTGGGGTGCTGACTTCTGGTTGAACACCTCGAGGCTGGCGTCGTTGTGGGCATCGCTAAATCCCGGCCATCGTTGGGCCATCGCCACGGGGCTCCCGGCTTTTTCCGCTCGATGCCGTCGGACCGTTCGGAAATACTGTAGCTACACGACCTTAAGTTCAACAGAAATTTACGTGACGTGTGACGAAAACCAAGTTCAGACAAGACAGTGGTTCAAAGGTCTGGCGAACGCGTGACCTTGAACTTAAGGTGGTTTACCTGACCAGCGTGACACTATGGAATATTTGGTCTTCAACTACGCAAAACTTGGACTTGAGGTGGAGCCATGGAATCAGCCATTAGATTCAAGTTAGCCCCGTTTGTGAAATTGTCACTCCAGCCCAAGCTTTCGAAGTAGCCATTAATATTCTCCGCCTTAATCAACAATATCAATGTCAATTCCATCGCCAAATGCTGCCGTCTATTGTCGGTTGACTACCACTCGAGTACTCAAGTATTCAAATATTCAGGCCTCAGGGCTTCCGTGGTGTGCCCGGTAATTTGCCACCATTAATAAACGGCGGGATAAATGACCCAGCCTTGGGGAGTGAACAGCCCTATTGTACCGCTTTCTTTTACCAGACTCATTGAACGACTCGGACTCGGCAATGTATCCAGAAAAGCACAAAAATCACATACCCAGAGCACAGACGTTCCACGCAAGCACATAAGAGTCGCTTCCGGGCTATGAGATGCCCATGACACATTGGTCAATCACTTACAAGTATAATGTATTGATAAATCAGACTTAAACTTGCATTATTATTTTTGTCACGCATCGAGGTTCCAAGACCCCTGTGATGAGTGACAAACCGTGTCGTAAGTTCACAAGACCAGCCAGGTGTGATGCGTGACGAACTTAAGGTCGTGTAGCTACAGTAGTCTACCTCATTGATGATCTGCATGACATGACAGAGGCGATCTTGCAAGCAAAATTGTCCGTGACAGAGCGCGATAACAAGCTCACCATATGTACATATCCTAATCCAAGGCAGCGTTCGTCGGGAGATGTATTGATAATAGGAGGGCAGCCCCGACGACCGAGCAGCGACCGAGAGTCTTTGCGACCGCGGGGCTGTCTGGTTGTCGATGCATTCACCGTTCGCTTCGGTTCCTGGCCCCGAAAAGCATACAGCCCTGGCTCTATTCATTTACATATAATTATCAAGCCTCGGGCTTCCAAGGTCGACGTCTCTCACGATGAACTCTTGCGCCCACCAGCACCCGCGAGGTCGTCGCAGAACTCTTCTACGGCCATCACCGGTGGCCGTCTCCTTACTCACGACTTTCCTGATCCAGTGCACAGTCCATTCGCTTATGCACCTTCTCTGACGCTTCCACCCCTGGTAAACACAGAAGGGGCCCGGAGATCGAGCAACTTCATCTTCATCTTAAAGCCTGAATTCGAAGTCGACCGCAGGTGAACGACGGGACCAATGTCGGGAACAACAACTAGCGTTGCGATGGCCTCTGCGTTAGAGGACCTGCGCGCCGCGTTCCCCAAGCCTGACCAGATCTCTACGAAGCCAGAGGACCTGCACGCCTACGCGAACTCCACGTTTGCCCACTACGGAGGTACGTCACGTCCCCACCCCCTGCGTGCATCCCACCATCTCCAATCAGCCGCGCGTGCGACGGCGGCGGAGCGGCGCTACCTCACTCGGTGGCCTGGCCCTGGAGGGCAGGCGCACGTAGTGAGGCACCTGCTGTACTATAGAACACCGAACGAACCCATTATCAATCATAGTCTCACGAATGTGCGTGATTGAACACAGGTGGTGCGCACTCTGTCGTGGTGCATGTGGAAGGCACAGACGACGTCGTAAAGGCCGTGAACATATCGCGGAAGCACCTTGTGCCTATCGTCGCGTACTCGGGCGGCACGTCGACGGAGGGCAGCATCGCTGCCGTGCGTATCGTTCTGCCATGGTGTCTCGAAGATGCCTTATCTAACCGAGATTGACGTACGTTGCAGCCTGCACATGCCAGCGGAAGCTTGTGCGTCGACTTGTCGCGCATGAACAAGATACTTGAGATCAACGGTACGCGTCTAGTCGTTGCCAGATAAGTAGCAAAGACTCAACCAGTCGCGCTTGATCAGAGGCAGATTCGGACGTCATATGTCAAGCAGGAGTACAATGGAACGTGCTTAATGACGTGTTGAAGGACAAAGGTTGGTCACCTTCTATCCGGACGATAGAAAGACGTTGAATTGAGTACCGTTCGAAGGGATCCCTCTATTTTTCCCGGTACGCTTGATGGAGGCGTCCCATATAACCGCTACTGAACGCACAATCCTGGGCTCCTGAAGCTGGATCCCGGCATCGGAGCTACCGTCGGGGGAATGATCGCGCAGGGCTGCTCAGGAAGTACGTTCTCTTCCGCAAAACCTGTCTATGAAAGGCCCTCATCCACGTTGTTCAGCCAACGCTGTGAAGTATGGCACCGCTCGCGCAGAGTACATCATCAACCTCGTACGAATACTCTTACTGAACCGGCATAACGCTGACGAGTCGCGCATAGACAGCCGTGTTGCCCTCAGGCGAGGTCATAAAGACCCGTCAGCGCGCACGAAAGTCGTCCGTAGGATTCGACCTCGCAAAGCTGTTTATCGGTGCTGAGGGCACGCTTGGAATTGTCACGGAAGGTGAGCAAGCTCAGTGCTCCGTGTTGAGTAGAGATCAAGAACCCAAATCGCAGCAACCCTCCGGCTCGTTCCACTGCTACCTTGGAAGGTCGCGATAGCAGCGTTCGACAACGTCGACGATGCCACCCAGGCAGTGCTTGAAGCCCTCAACAAAGGTGCTTCCATCCGTGAGTTCGTCCCTCTGACCCTCATCACCTCCCCCACTCATCAATACCCATTTCTGTATCGCCACTATACCTAGAATGCGCCGAACTCGTCGACAGCATCTGCATCCGCGCGATGAACACGTACGGCACCTGCAGGCTGAAATGGCCCGAGACAGACAGCGTGCTGTTCAAGTACGCAGGCACCCCGGCTGCGATCGCCGAGACCGCCGAGCTCGTGCGGGACGTCGTCGCCAAGTACGGCGCTGGCGCGGTGGAGGGACGGTACACGTTTGTGGAGAAGGACGATGACGCGGACGCGCTGTGGATCGACCGGAAGAGTCTCGCGGGGACGCTGTCGAGGCTGCATCCGGGGTACAAGGGCTGGGTGACGGACCTTTGGTGAGTTGGCCATGGGGCTCCTTGACCATAGCGACTTCGGAAGTTAGAAGGGATGCTTATGGTGAGAACAGCGTGCCTGTGAGCAGGCTGCCGGACCTGATCAAGTTCTCGAGGGCCGAGTTCGACAGGCTCGGGCTGATCGCGCCGATCATGGGGCACGTCGGGGACGGCAACTTTCACGCGTTTATTCTCGCGAGTAACGACGAGGAGTATCAGAAACGCAAGGAGGTCTTCGATACTATCGCGTGGAAGGCTATTGAGCTCGATGGAACGTGTACGTTTTCTGCATTCTCTTCTAACTCTACGTGCTTGGATACTGACGGTATCCTTGATTGATGGTATTAGGCACTGGAGAACACGGTGTCGGTACAGTCAAGAAGAAGTACCTCCCACGTGAGCTGGGAGACGGCACGCTCGCGCTGATGAGGAGCATCAAGCAGACCTTGGATCCGCTGAACCTGTTCAACCCCGGAAAGGTACGCGAACGAACTGACTGCTAATGTGCCAACTGTCCTTGCTGACGCGCTGACGGGGCTATCAGCTGTATCCCGACGACGAATCTTGATGGACGAGGGGAGGTTTTGAGGCCATACTTAGTGTAAGATAGTGTAGGATGAAGACAAACCCTGCTCAATGATACGTGCTGTGTGTGATATGTACGGGGTCCCTGCAGCTGAACGCGTCAGACCACGTCCTTCCGGCACCCCTCCTATTTCCTTCCTGTACTTTATGTCGCGATGTCTACCTACGTCGTCCCGCAAAAGCGCATCACCTCCCCAGCCTCACTCGAGGCGCTCAAAGGCTCAGAAACATGGAAACGCCTGCTGCGGTTCACCAAGAGACTGAACGAATCTGTCGTCGGCGTCAAGCTGTCTGACCCTGTCCATGAGTCGCCCGTTAGTTACTCATCCTTCATGCTTTCCATCGTTTCTCACTCACGTTGTTTTCTTCAATTGATATTGGTGTATGCATCGATGCATCGTGTAGGCAGTGAAAGCTATCTTGGACGTGCTCGATCGGGTGCGGGAGGTCGCGCAGGCGATTCCGCCAGTGGAGACGCCGTCGAGGTTTGGGAACCCCGCGTTTCGGGACTTCTACGATAGGGTCGAGCAGGTGCGTCTCCCCATTTCTTGACAATTCGCTACCATCCTTACTGGCATCCCGCGCTTTTCTACAACCTCCTCCCACCGCCGATCCATCAAACTCAACACATTAGTCATCTTCAGAGTGGCATAAGACGATCCCGGGCGTACCAGAGGATGCGATCCCAGAGCTCAGCGCGTACTTTACCGAGTCATGGGGGAACAGACAGCGTATCGACTACGGCAGCGGCATGGAGCTGAATTTTCTCAGTTGGTTGTGCGTTCATCTCTTCCCTGCCCCCTTTCCCCTCCGCCTTATATACTGTTCAATCACAAAGCTGACATCTTATGCAGACTATGCCTGGAACTGCTTGGTGTATTTGACGTACCGAATGGAGACCTCAACGTCACTAACGAAGACCAGACGCCGGACGAGGATCCGGGCATACCAGACCGCAAGGGCCCGAGTATCGACTTCAAGTCCTCGGATTATCCTGCGATCGTCACGCGCATCTTCTGGAGGTGAGACCCTTGTGCATCTTCGTTGCGTCACATTGTCTGATTGCTGCATTGTGCACCAGGTATATCAACATCATGCGGGTGCTGCAGAGCAGCTACTGGCTCGAACCCGCCGGATCGCACGGCGCGTGGGGACTAGATGACTATCACCACCTTCCGTTCCTCTTTGGCTCAGCTCAACTTCGGAGTGCGTAGTGATGCCAGTGTTCTGCGCCATATGCATTCACTGATTGCATGTCTCTCTCTCCGTAGAGAATCAGTTCCCGGGGCCGGGTTCGATCAAAGTCAACGAGATCGTGGAGGAGATGGCGAAAGAGTACGTGTATTTCGCGTGCATCCAGTTCAATAACTCGGTACGTATACAGTCTGAAATCGGATATATTTCCGTGTCTGACCAGATGTTATAGATCAAGACAGTCAGTTTTGGATGGCATTCGCCGATGCAGTGGGATATCTCCAAGGTACGCGCCCCGACTCTGTGTCCAATTATCTTCTTCCCTGCATCCTACGTATCCGCTTTCATCTCACATCAACGTTCCCCTTCCGTATAGGTGAAGAAATGGACCAAAGTAAACGAAGGCATGTTCAAGATGTACCTCGGCGAAGTCCTCGGCAAGCTGCCCGTCATGCAACACTTCCTCTTCGGTTCGCTCCTCCCTGCCCCGCCACTCCCCGTTGACATTGACACTAACGGTCACGATCACGACCACGAGAACGAAGTGATTGAATATGATGAACGAGGCGTCCCGAAGTTGGGCGCGCACGGACATGGGCACGCGCACGAGGGCCTCCCCGATTGCTGTGGCATTCCGGTGCCGAGTGCATTCGGTGCTGCGAAGGCGGAGCAGAGAGAGAAGAAGGCACTGCAGGGGCCCGGGATATGGGCTGTCCCGTTCGATTGAGCAGTAGTTTTGTGCGGGACTGTATCTGTGCACGTACTAATCGTACGGACACCTATCGAAGAATAATCGTAAAGTATATGTGTACTACGTATTAGATCTTGTAAACAAGTTCAAGTTTTTCGGGTATCGTCACTGAACCGTCAGCGTCGTCAAAAAAGAGAAGAAACCAAGAAAGCATCCTACAAAACTATCCCTCGAGTTCCGAAGGTCCGCTTCCTAGCTCACAGCCATTAATCCATATCTCACCCCAGATCCATACCATTCGAGCACTCAAACCCTCCCAGCACTCTTCTCCGCCTCCGCCTCATCTTTAATCCTAAACGCCCTCTTCTCCTCTCGAAGCCGTCTGCTCTCCTTGATCCCGAACCCGTTTCTAAACACGACCTGCACCTCCTCCAGACTCAGACCCGCCGTCTCTGGGAAGAAGCCCACGCAGAACACCCAGCCGAGGAAGCACAGGCCCGCGTAGAACCCGAACGCGCCGGCGGGCGTGATGCGCGCCATGAGCGAGAGGTATGTCGAGCCGATGAGCAGGTTCGCTCCCCAGTTGGTCGCTGTCGCGAGGGAGGTGCCGATGCCGCGGACTATGGGGGTGACTCGGTGTAAGTGGGGAGCGAAGGAGGAGGGCAGGGGAAAAGGGCGAGACGCACCTTCGAGCGAGAAGAGCTCGCCCTGCTGCCAGGGCACGTTGCCGAGGCCGGTCGCGTAGCTCGCGACGAACACGATCATGCTAAGCAGCACGACCGCGGACCAGCCCGTCTCGTAGTGCGACCCGCTGACGAGCTGCCCGCCCGTGTTCCGCGTCATGACTGCACCGCGGAGGATCATGACATGTCATATCAGCCATCACGCCGCGTTGCCAAGAGGGGAGACACGCACAGTGGAAAGCAATGCTAGCCACCACCAGCCCGACGACCATACCCGGCGCGCTCCAGAGCATGATCCTTCTCCGCCCGATGACGTCAATCCAGCGGAGCGCGATGAGTGTGAAGAGGAAGTTCGTGCCTGCGACGATGAGCCCGACCGCGGTGGGTTGGTCGAACCCGATCTCGGCAAAGAGGGAGGCGGAGTAGTACATGAGCGTGTTGAACCCGCAGAGCTGTTGGTATGCCTGCAGGCCGCAGGCGACGACTGCGCATGGTGGGCATTGAGTGAGTACTGGATATATGGTGAAAGGGGTGAGAAGGAGGGAAGCTTACTGAGAGCGCGACGGTTGACGGGGACCGAGATCATGCTGCGTATGCGCTCGAGGAAGGTCGTCGAGTTGGCGATATCGATGCTTTGCTGGACGGCTGCACGAAGAACACGGAGCTGATAGCGAGACCAACATCAATTGAGCGCATACATGCTGGATAAAGTATATGCGCACCTTGAGCTCAACCTGCTCGGCCTTTGCCCCCTTGTATATCTTCCCGAGCACCTTATGCGCGTCCTCAATGTCGCCCCTTCTTACCAGGATACGCGCTGCATCCCACAGAGTCAGCCGTTGTTAGTCGATGCCTATGCGCCCAAACGAACAAAGAGAGCATACTCACGACTCTCGGGAAGGATCAATACGAGCGCGGCCTGGATACCAGCGGGCACAGCGCCAAGTCCGACCATCCATCGCCACCCGTGTGGGACGTTCTCAAATCCGGCGTCGATGCCGTACGCAATGACCTGGCCGAGAGTGATGAGCACTACGTTGAGCACCACCAGGCGGCCTCTGAGGCGGGTCGGCGCGAGTTCTTGGATGTAGAGGGGGGCGATGCATGAGGCCAGGCCGACGCCCAAGCCGACTAGAAGGCGGCAGCCAATCTGGGTGGGAGGGCGCGGGTGTGGATGAAAGTGGCGTTATGCGTACGAGAGAAAGAAAGGGAGAGACAATAGTCAGGGAAGAAAGGGGATACTGAGGGAGGAAGAATGGGCGTACCATACTCCAGACCGTGTGGCAGACCGCCTGACCAATTGCACCACCAATGAAAAGCACATCTGCAAGACCGAGGACAGGACGACGGCCAGTGATATCTGAGAGAGCGCCTGCAGCGAGGCCACCAAGGAGGGCACCCAGTGTAGTTGAGGACGTAATAAATTCCTAGCCGCACCATCGTTCGTCAGCAAGTAGTAACACCATACCCAATGTTGTCGGGACGACGCACCTTTTGCCCATCCGATAGCTCAGCCGGACCCAAGTCTCCTCCAATCGAAACGAGCGCACCAGAGATGACACCAGTGTCGTAACCTTTTCACCGCCACCCAGAAGCAGAAGCACGAGCGAGCGAGTCTATTTCAGCGCATACATCCCATTCCCCAAGGAGAAAGATGACATACCGAAGAGAAGACCGGAGATGGAACAGCAGGCGACGACGCCAATGACGAACCAGGTGGTATGTTCCGCGCCTTCAGCTACAACAGCTGCCTCGGATATCTCGCCTGCTTGTGTGTGGGCTAACACATCCTGAAATGCAGCATCGGGATCCTTGCTGGCAGCGTTGGCACTGAGAGTGGTGGTGGCTATCGTATTCCGCTTTTCGTTGTCGTCTTCAAGGGAGGGCGACCGTGAGCCGCCGTGGTTCGGCTCGGATGCCATCGCTTGCTTTTGCCGTAAAGAGTTTTGACGTTTGACGTAGCCCTAATCGTCAGGGTCAAACCAAGGCAGGACGCACAATGAGCGATTCAGAGGCCAAAGGCTTCTCTGCAACAAAGTGTGGGGAAGAAGAGAAGCAACAGCTCAATTGCGTTGATCTCATCCTTTTCTTTCTACATCCACCTTGGCGTCATCTGCTTGCCGCATCCATGTTCATTCGCTGGCTCGCCCGGCTAACAAAACGGCTGTGAAACGGACCACTTGATCACAAAAGAGCCGCTTGTGAACCCTGGGGCATATGGTCATGCTCCGATGCCATGGCTCCCTCTACTACTCTCTCCATTCTTCATCCTGTTTCCACATATGTAGAGAGCTGAAAGCCCACGTTCAACGGGATATTAGATGGCAAACAAGTAAGTGAACCAATGCATTTGTGGACTCGAAAACACAGGTCGTCCTTCAAGTTCACTGATCACGCTCAAAATGAGGTCTCTGATAGGTGGGCGTCTGATCCGAACTCTACAAATTTACGCCCCGGCCTTCCCGGAGCTCCATCGCGGCAGATTCCGAACGGCCTGATCTCCCTTCTCTTCCCAGCTTCGCGACGCAAAAACATGCCCGTGAACAAACAGCGCACCCGCACCGTACGCTACGAACCAGCTGATTGGATCACGAAAACACCAGCGCTTACAGCGATCCAACGACGCACCCGGAATATCGACTGGGGTGCATCACAACAACAAACTTCGCGAGAAAGATGGCGCATAGTCAATGTTTATTACCACAGAAGACATTTCGGCGTGTGTACTCGGCGCAAAGATATATGTGCGTAGGATATATTGAAGCGGCTCTGAGGGGTACAACCAATGCGATTCGTATGTTCTAACGAGATAGCCGAGGCAACGAATAATATTCAGCACAAAATACGGGTGGCATTAGCTTTCCGAACCATAGTCGCCACCTCCTGCCACATGCAATCGCTGGCGAGAGAGTTTACGCAGTGTGGAGATATATCGGATAGTCGAGGAAACATGCGAACCAAGTGGCGCGCCACGAATGCGGGATCGTCTATCGGGGACTGCCCAAAGTACGCCCTGTTAATGCGGCTGTTGCACGCCGTTGGAGGAAACGCATCGAACGCTGCATTGTTAGCTGCGGTGAAGTCGACAATTAGACTGATATAAAAGAGGTTGGGGCACCCGCTCAGCAGGGTTGCAAGACCTGTCATGGTGATATGGTTGCTCAAGAGAGGAAGAGGGCCCGTGTAAAGAGACAAGGATTCGAGTTTAGGGAAAGCAGCGGATAGCTCTTGAATGAAGCTGTTGTTCATCTCGGGGGAGCAAATGAGGCTAAACGATAGTTTGGTTAGGTTCTTGAACTTATAGAGTCGTCGGAAGGTTGAGAGGTCCAGAAGCTTGAGGCCGAGCGCGTCATAGAAATGCTGCGTAAGCTTGAGACTAAGCATGTTATCCGCAGGGAGGATCTCGGTGAGTACTTGCAGCATTTCAACAGTGTCGCCGACGTTTATGGAGTCAGGGACGAGGACAGCGCGTAGAGACGTCATAGCCTTGAGATCACTTAAGGAGCACATGAAGGATGTAACTTCCTTCGGGCCCCCAGAGTCGAGGGTAAGTCGTTGAAGTGAGGGGAAGGCGAATGACCTCGTGGGCTGGTGAACAGGGGGTGCTCGGTATGATGGCAGAGGACTGATGTCAAAGGCGAGTTCCTCCAGACACGGTAGACTCGACAAGAAGGGAAACAATTCGGAGGGTGTACGGATGATTAACCGGGTACCAGCTCTGAAGGTCTTCAGCTTCTGGAATCCGAGAGATACGGCGTCGGACAGCACATTAGGCAAAACATGCCTGGTGCGGAGGTCGACGCCCCCTATAATGGAGAGGGTCTCCAGAGAAGGACAAGCCCGACTCAACCAGGTCAAGGTGTGCGGACTATTCGTCGGAAGTTTCCCAATCTCGACCTCAACGATGTCAGGACCCAAGACGAGTGGTTAGTTCCGTTGAAATCTGGGAAAGAAGTCGAACGCCTCGACGCGCTGAATATTCGGGAAGAGCAGGGAGCCGCAAAAGGAGGATAATGAACTTAGGACAACGTCATCTATCACGACCGTGCAGGCTTCCGAATCAGCGGATACAAGGCTTCGAACCCTCGAGACATAGCGTTCAAGAATTCTCCAATCGGACAACCTCATAATACGCCGAAACTTCTGGTAGCATGACACGTCTTTATTAGGTACCATATTCTACATCGCATACGCCGTCGGATGGACTCTTACCATGTATCCAACAGGTTTCGCTCTACTAACATCCAGTAGATCCTCCGGTAGAACCATGAGCACGTCCATCATGGTAATTTCTCGGTACAGTTTGTCCAACGCTGGCTCTTTGAAAGGTTTGCAAGTCCTTGCAGCGGCTGCTAGACTCTTGCGAGCGTCTTCTTCACTGACTTGGAAATGATTCAAATATAGTAAAGAGGACTTCTGGAAGACGAAAGCAAGGGTGCATGTTGGTAAAAGGAGACGACGGCCAGGAGAGAGGCTATGACAGGCTATGAGTCGGTGGAACGAAAACGCGGCGCGCAGCAAGTTCATTTTTAAGTTGCTTGAGACAGGTGCACATCCGATGAGACAGTCCTGTCCATCTCTAACGAACTCCTCTGCTGCTGCCATCGTCTTACATCTTAGCTTGCAAAGTTTAAGATACGAAAACATTGACGAAAATTAAACGGAACAGGGGATGTCTTGAACTCGAAGCTTCAAGTTGAAGAACCAAAAAGCGACTCGCTTGTTCAAGTAAGTACAAACTATTGAGGATCTAGATTCAAGTACGCTAACGGATCTCATCACAACCATCAATCTAGAACTTTTTGGGCTTGGAGCCATTTGAAGGTCCAAGCACCACAATGGCTAGTACCGTCCGTATGAATCGACGGCTCAATGACGCTCCGAAGGCGGGGCATCATGCGTCTCAACTGCCGCGCGGCAAACGCTTCGTCATCAATCGGTGAGTCCGCCAACCTAATCTCCCGAATGTGTGTGTTGTAGCCTCCATCAGGCACGATTTGAGCAGCGAACGACGCGTTTCGCGTCACCGTTGCGTCGACGATGACCTCAAGGTAGCGAATGTCAGGGCAGTTGCGCAGAATAGACGCGATACCAGAGAAACTCGTATAGTATGTGTCTCTCCAGCCTACTTTGCCGCCGAGGCAAAGCTTCTGCAGACGGGGAAGGGCGGCTGAGATAGCAGCGAGGTCGAAGTCGTCGAGCTCAAAGTATGCCGTCACGGTGAACGTCAATGCAGTCAGGCCGCTGTAGACGAAGAGCGGTTCGAGTAGATCAAGCGTCAATGTAACCTTGGGCAGGTGGTTCGGCTCCACGCTTTGCGTGATGCTGATCGCTTTCGCGAGGGACTTGTCGAAGGAAGAAGCGAGAGTGTGGACGAACTCGACAATGATCTCTGGGGACCTGATACCCATGGCGGCCACGTCGGCGCTGAACCTCGATACTTTGCGTAATCCCATTATTTTCAGAACGTCTCTGGTGAGCGTCGTGGACTCGTCGTCCTTGTCTGCGTCATCAAGACTGACAGGGAAGAAGTTATGCAGCTCGATAGATGTGAGATGCGGGCTGCAGAGCATGGGTAGGAGCTCGGAATGGACGACACGGTGTTTGAGGATTAGGGTTTGGAGATTTGGAAAGAGAAAATCGCAGAGTTCGGCTTCCAGCAAGTAGCACCAAACTTCTATGTCGAGCTGAAGCTGTTCCGGATCGAGGGCGAGGTCCAAGACACGAACTCGACGAAGGTATCCAAGGAGGAATTCCCAAGTCGACTCAGCCACGGGTGGCACCAAAAGTACATATTGCTGAAAGGGCAACGATACGAGTCAGACCCACGGATGCGTTCCTAGAGTCGAGAAAGCTTACCGTTTTGGACCCATAGTCTGAGTGCTCATGAAACATTAACATCTCCTTGGGAAGAGTCAAGAAGACGTCCGAGAGACAGTCTATCTTGTAGTAGAGCGCATCCAGCGCAGGCTCCTTAAAGTCTTGGCAGGTTCGTGCGACCGCTGGAAGAGTATGCTTTGATACAAAAGAGAAAATCAGTGAGGTTACCTCGGAGACGCTGAGGCAGGGATGCATTTCGTGCCGGTTGATGGTCGGTATAGTGAAGGTATAGTGTGAAGTGCCACTAATCCTGGGGGTTTGTGGATGCGAACAAGGCGATTGTGTCGAATCGTGGCGTGTGATACACGCGATTTCCATGCGACACAAGCGGCACTCATCTGAAGGCTGTCCGAGAATTACTCCGATGATCAGTATCGATCAGTCCTGCGGCAAAGGCCAATATTTAGAATACCGAAACATCTACCAGCTACACTCATATGAATCTACCCCGCTTTGCGAAAGAACTGCTGTTAACATTCGTTCGTCGCTGCCTCTCCAAAGGAGCGACGCGACGCGTACATATTACCATACGTGATGAAATAGGCACGGGTTCCTTGAGCAAGCGAGGCTGATGAACGCTGAACAAGCGACAAGTCGACAAACACTGCATCAGCCTTGCAGTGCATTAATAATACTAGACACCTGGACAAGTATATATTCCATGTAACAGAACTGATTGATAGTGGAGGCGCATACCCTTGCAACAGACTTAGTGAAAGTATGGCAAAGTGCGTGAGATGCGCCCGCCTTTTATAAACCGTGGTGCCAATAGCAGACCAAACGCAGTGTATTGCTGATATGTATGATCGTCGGGTATAAACTGAACAGAAAACTATCTAAACCGGCATATCCCTTAGAGAGCGACGTTGATGGGGGAGCAGCCAAGGTTAACGAGCCCCTTCTGCAATGGAGGTGAGCAGGGGAATCAAACTTAATCAGGTTGGGACGTACGAATGTGTTATCCGTGCAGCAGACCGGCGCCGATGAGCACTGGCTGCCGCCTGAAGAGAGAACGCCGACAGGGGTGCAACCGAAACCAATATCACCGGTGATGCCTTTAACAACGGCGCCGAGGAGAGCGGCTTCCTTGACGGCAGATTCGTCCGAGCTCTGGAAATTAAACTACGTTAGCCCACGGGGTGGTAGAGATTGCGACGAGGACTGGATACTCACGGACGAGACCTTGTTGCAGCAGAACTGATCACCAGTGTTGCACTGACCCTCGCCAGAGCCGCCAGCAACAACGACAGCAGCGAAAGCAAGAGCAGCGAAGGCAGAGGCGTGCATGGTGATAGAGATGAGTGAGGGTTTAAGAGGGCGAAGGGCAGAAGGCAGAAGACGACGGTTGACTGAGGAAAAGTTGGTCGATGCAGGCAGGCTTTTATATGTTCTGAGCGCCAGGCAATTCCCTCCTGCACTCCACCTCATGTCACGATGCGCGGCTTTTCTGCACGATCTAGAGCGGGGGGGCGAGAACTTCACCAGCGGCAGCCGAGGGCGTGGTCGGGGACACGACGGCGGACCTGTCAACTGGTGGCAGGTATTCGGAATTCGCGACCTGCATACGATGACAGTCTTCATATTGGATCGTTCAATGAAAAGAGGCCGTGACAAAGAGCCTCGAGTTTTTCGGGATAGATTGCGGACGTGAGCGTTTCTGGAGTTCGTTATTCACGGTGGCTAAACACGCTCTCGAATTCAGTAGACAACCACGGGTATGTACCGTGGAACTTCCATCAGTAGAACCAAGACTGGGGATTCTGATAGAAGCCCAAAGGTTTTGTAGAACTTACGGCAGAGGGACGGAGACCTTGAATTTGCATGTCAACGAATAAACGCTCGATGACCGATGAGCTCCCGTGTGGAGACCAGGCGAACACAGACCTCGGCTTCGCATCAATCATTTCGGACTGAATGCTGAGCGATGCTGAGTGGGAGCGGGATAAATTCTGTCGAACGCAGCTGTCGTAGAGGCGTAGGCTCCGTAGGATGCGCACATGGTATCGCTACTCCTTGAGTCGACCTTGTCCTCGGCGCGCTTTCTAGCCGGAAACAGACGCTCATTAGACGCGCTCGCAATTTTTAGGGAAAAGCCGGCCTGTTCATAGTATTGTCGATGGGCTGCATCATTTTCGCTGTCGGCGTTCAGCTTGATGAAACGGAGATGACTTTATGGACACCATTGAAAGATGTTTTATTCAAATCGAACAAACGTGCAGAAAGACCTAGGTCTATGAAGGGTGTAGATTCACGTTCCGAACACGCGCTCAAAGAGGGATGACGTCACATGCCTTCATAACTTGAAACTTTTGGGGGCGGTACCTGTAAAGACAAAAGATGCAGTTAGATAACTTAGATTTCACGTCCAATCTGAATGATATGAAAACATCCTACAGCTAGTCTGTTTGCGGAAGACAAAGGGACATCTTGAATCATCACTTGTACTATTGCCGATAGGATTGATACGCCCGCTGGGCAGACGCGTCCACGCAAAACACGCCCCGCGCGGTCAGGTTGTCTTGCAAGTTGCCGCGACAGCGTTCGGCGTTTCCATGAATGAGTCCGCGAGTTGGATTGCTGTTAGTGCCACGCCGTCTCAAGTGTGCGACGCGCAGAACGAGCCACGTATTAGGTAGTTTTTCGACCTTAAGTTCGCAGTGGCGTGAGAAGACGGGCTTCAAACACGGTTTCTTGAAGCGTCCGATATCCTCCTCTGTAGGTTCGGAGGGCCGAACAACGAAGAGCGAAGTGCTGTCACCCGACTGAGCAAGTGTGACCTCAGTTGAATCATGTGTATGCTGCTACTATTGTCGTTGTTTTTGTAAGCATTCTCCGCAAAACAATGGCACTACTTATATTCTTGTCATGAGCTGGCAGCGAGTTACATACCTTCGCTCACTCAAAGGTAGACACTTCGCTCGGTCGTTCATAAGTCTTTTACCAGAAAACCAAGCAGATTGTATTATCTAAGAGCAGCGCTGTAGCGTAATAAACCAGGAAAGGACCAGTATAAACCAGCTCATTCATCCCTATTAGACTTAGAGGTTGACGTTGATGGGGGAGCAGCCGAGGTTAATGAGACCCGTCTGCAATGGAGGTTAGCAATCAAGCACATGTAACTTTGAAAGCTGATACGTACGAATTTGTTGTTAGTGCAGCAGACGGGGTGCTGGTTGCAGGTGCCAGCGCCGGTGGAGAGGACGTTGAGGGGGGAGCAGTCAAGGCCGGCCTGGCCGGTGAGGCCCTCGACGACGACACCGAGAGCGGTGAGTTGCTTGGTGACGGACTTGTCTTGGACCTGGAAGATAAAGCGTATTAGTACGCTGAATGCAAACCGGTACGGTTCCCGACAAAGGGTGGATACTCACGCTCTTGACCTGGTTGCAGCAGTAAGCAGAGCCAGTGTTGCACTGGCCGGCGCCACCGGCAGCGACGACTGCGGCAAAGGTGAGAGCAGCGAAGGTGGAGGCGTGCATGATGATAGTGACGATGATGATGGGTGAGAGTTGAGTAAACGAAGGACGGAGGACTGAAGGCGAGGATTGACTGAGGAAAAGTCGGTCGATGCGGGCTGGCTTTATACGTTCTCGGACCTCATACTTTTCCTCAGGCTGCTCTACCCTACGTTCCGACGGCGCCAAGTCGGTGCGGGCTGGGCCCAGAGGCCCGTTCTCGACCCATGGTAGCCGAGGTGGCGTCCGGGACCACGACAGCGACCCTGTCAATTAACGACATTTCTCGGAGGTCGGGCCTCATCTTTGAATTCGCTCGGGATCAGGAGACCGCGGCTGAGAGTCTCGACTCTGGAGTTACGTTGCTGATAGCGGGTCTTCCCAGCGAGTTTCGCGCTTTAGGAGGCCAAACTCGACCTCGAGCTCAATTGACAGCCAGGGCTCGAAAATTTCCATCAATTCAGCCAAGACCGGGGACCTGAAACAGAGCTCAGTACTTCAGTAAAGATGACGGTAGATGAACTTGAGGAACAGAAAACCACAGTGACCATTTCATCGAGGCCCCGATGATCCCGTCTCTGGGGGAAGCGAACGCAGCATCTCTCCGCATCGGACGGGACAGAGAAACTTTTAATTGAATGCGAGAAGGGTGAACTGGCCCAGGAGCCCGCTTTGGCCTTGCCTGGAACAACCATCTGCCTTCCAGGAAGTCCGCGAGATGATTTCATGTTAGAATCGTATTGTCCTCTGCGATACTCAACGAGACCTACCACCAATGAATGGACCTATGAACTATTCCGACAAACTCTGCTCTGCGCCATCCTACACTGCACACCGCGTCCGTTGTGCGCACGAACGTGCTTATATTGGACATCAGCCTCACGAGTTACCTCGCCACGAACACGCCGTCATCCACGAGCGAGTCTGCGAGCCGCGGATCGACAAACCGTCGGCAGCGAGGAAGCCAGTGTCGTTCCCCACTTGAGCGCCGATTGTGGCCCTTGGCTCGCACAGGTTCCTGAGCACCCTCGCAAGTCCTTCCAGCGTCACCTAGGACATGCGTACTTCGCATCACTCACCGCTCCGTATTCGAAGAAACGCAGACCGCACATGACGGGCACATAGGGCTCGAGCGTCCGCTAGTGCGGCATCTGGGAGCGTTTAGTATGCGACGGGGCGATATGAGGCGCCGCGTGCGGGGAAGAGCGACGAGGCGACAGAGACCGTTGGCATACCGAAGGGCGCACCTCGGGCGAGTACGTGTATAACGGCGGGCGACTTCGCCGCAGCTGAGGCACTATGAAAGATGGTTTATTGAGTACCATAGCGGGGGCAGGCTGCTAACGCTGAGGAAAAATCAGACATTTGACACCAAGAGGACGTCGTTTGCCCCTGAGGCGCTCATGGAGAGCGATATTCACAGGTCCATCAAGCGCTGGCAACCCTGCAGCGACACCCAAAATATCCGATACATGAGCGGCGCTCGCCTTCCCACATACACGCAGACCGTTGCTGTCATGGTCATCGTCAATGAAGGAGGTCGAGCGAGGACGATGGTAACAGGGAAAGTACACCTAAACCCAATCCATCTCCTTGTTCTCCTTTTCGTCCTCCTCGATTGTTAGCGGGCCCTTCGGGTAGAATATGCCAGCGACGGTGGTGATCTCGGAGTAGACAGCATCTAGAGCTAAATCGCGGAGAGACTCATATTTCCTTGAGATTACATCGAGTATACAGCTGTCTAGGAGCTCTAGGGAGATTGTGGAAGGCATGACCTCTGCAGCGGTGAGACAAGGGCGCATTCGTGCCAGGGAAGTGATTGTGCGATTGGATGTTGAAGTTGAAATCCTGAGGCTGCACAGCGGGCTCTTGTATGCATTGCTCTGGCGCCATGGGAGTTCACGAGGGTCAAAAGAGAAGATAATCCCGCGAATTATGACTGCAATGTTCGGAAAGAGGAGTTCTAAGCCGGCGAAAGAGCGGGGAAATGGCTTACGTAAGGGACTACTTCATCCTCGCCTGGTGTTTGCCGGTGACGAAAACACGCGCACCAAACCCATATCCCTCCCCTGCCCAAATCTCGCTCTTTTCCTCTTCGCAGTTTTCGCCTTGTAGCGCCTACATTTTTGGATCACAGGTGAAGCAACGACACTCTGCAAGCGCCAGAGTCCATCACCCTGCGCCCGCACATCCGGCAATTATGCTCGACCGCGTCAGAAACTATGTCTACGAGCGGCGGGGGCGCATCGTCGGTGCTGCAGGCGTGCTCGGAGGCGCGTACGTCGTCTCCGGATATGTGTCGGACAGGATAGGTGAGATGAAGTCAGGCATGGTCAGAGAGAGGGGCGCTCGGGAGACGTGAGTCGTTCCTCACTATCAAGGTCCACTTGGTGTGCTAACTCCATCACGCATTGCCTGTCTTTCTCCCGTAATATTCAATTCATGTTGGCATCTCCGAATCTGCAGCCTCCGCCGCCGTTTCCGCCAAACCCGCGACGATGCATCCTACACGGCGACCGCGCTCATGCCCTCCCTCGCCGACCAGCTCCTCGCAGAGCTTGATGTTGACGCGCTTACCGCCGAACTCCAAGCTCGTGCGCGCAAGCGTCCTCCCATTTCCGAATCGGCCCCATCCGCCTCCGCTTCCCACCAGCAATCGGATTCTGTCCAGTTATCATCATCCGACGCCTCGTCCTCTTTCCACCACGTCTCCCGCCCAAGCACTGGCGAACAGCAGGCGCTCAGACTACCCCACATTCGGCGCGACCCTAGTGTCGTCTCGGCCTCGGCCTCGGAGAGCGTCTCGGACGTGGAGAGCGTAGCGGATTACTCAGTCTCGGGCTCCTCGGTCATCTCCGGCATGGAAGGCGACGGCTCGCCCAGCCTCGGCGCATCGACGAGCAGCTGGGTCGAGCGTATGAACGTGTCGGGCATTTCTGCAGGGACAGGCAGCGGCGCCCCGTCCTCTGCTGCGTCGGAGGCTGGTGATGCGCCTGAGGCGCAGAACAATAATGGCGCTGGCGATGCGCCGCGGGGCCGCACGCTCGGCGTGCCCGGGCAGCCGCTGGAGGATATGACAGGCTCGCAGATGGGCGCGTCGCTCGCCAGCTCGATGACGAGCGCTGCGAGCTCGGATGACGCGGCGCACGGTGCGTTACAAGGAACGGGAGTCGGAGCGGGAAAGAGCAAGGCCGAGCTCTGGAAGGAGGTGAAAATCCTCAGTGAGTACATGCGCTCTCCCTATCCCTTTGTGCATACACCCAATGCTAACCCACCGCAGCCCTCACACGCACCCTCACAACTCTCTACGCCGCCGTCCTCCTCGCCATGCTCACCGCCACCCAACACGCCCTCCTCGCGCGCGGACGCTACGTCCGCGCCGTTCTCGCCGACGAGCGACGCGAGCGCACACGTGCCCGCGCTGCGCAGCTCGATGCGTTCTGGGGACCACTTATCCCGCCCATCCCCGGCGCCGAAGCCGGCGCCGACCCCTTCTCGGAGCTGCATGGAAGCGGCAAGGCGGGGAAAGGGAAGGGAAGGCTGCAGGGCAGCGCGCTAGGGCGCTTTGTAAGCGGGACGGGGCCGACGGGTATGCTTGTCTGGAGCGCTGTTGAGGGTCTCGTCGGGGTGCTTTCGGGCGATCTAGGGGACAGTGACGACGAGGATGAGGGGGAAAGTGCTGATGAGGGGTACGAGGGTGCCGCGCCGAGGCGGTCGCGCGGTCCTGTCTCGCCTTGGGAGACGGACCTTGGCGGGCTCGAGGGCGCGTTTGGCGGGTTCGGTATGGGTGTGGATGGTATGGATGTGGGGGCGGGACAGAGAGAGAACGAGGACGACGAGTACGATCGGATCGAGATGGAGTATCTTTCCCTTTCGTGGTGGCTTGTGCATGTCGGCTGGCGGGACATTGCGCAGCGCGTGCGGTGGGCGGTCGAGGGCGTGTTCGAAGGGTGCGTCATGTATGTGTACCTCCCGCGGGGTCAGATGCTAACCTTGGCCATGCGGACAGCGTCTCGCTCAAGTCCAAGCTGAGCGCGACGGACCTACAGGGACTGGTCGACGACGTCAGGAGGAAGGTTGAGTACACGGACGATGGCAAAGGGCGGACTAGGTGCGTTGATTCATGATTATTCTTCATGCGCTGTTTTCTGACCGCGCTATGACATATGTGCATGTAGCTTCCTCTCAGCCCTTCTCCCTCAAACGCCTGAACAGATTGCGCGCGTCCTTGCCCAGAGCGGCGCTTCTCCGCCTCCATCGTCCGCGTCAGCATCGGGGGCGTTCCCGCTCGACGCATCGATATCGATCGACGCAGACGGCAGCTCCGTCTCTGCCGCTCCTCTTTCCGACGCGTCGTTCTCCACATCTCCCGCCGCCCCTCCAACCGCCGGTAGCTCCAACGAACCGGTAGAAGGACCGTCACCGTCCCCATCGCTCATCCCCCACGTCACTATCACGCAGCCCGCCGGAATCGTCACGCCCTCCGCCGTCGGCCCAGCTGTAGCTTCCGTCCCGATGCAGACCGGCGAGGAGAGATCGAACGCAGCGACGCCGAAGCAGCAGCAGGCCAAACGCCCCATCGCGCGCCCCTCGTTCGCCGCGCTCTTGGAGCAAACGCGGGGGTACGCGCTAGGAGCGGACTTTGCGCGCGTGCTCGAGGTGAGCGCGGAGCGTGCGGTGGATGTGTTGTTTGACGGGCTGCGCGCGCATGTGTTCGTCGATAGCAGTGAGAAGGAGAGGGGGGTGGAAGGAGAGAACGGGGGAGAGAGGGAGGAGCTGAAGATGCGGCTGGCGGGGCTGTTGCCTGGTCTGGCGAGGTGGAGTAGGCTTGCGCTCGAGGGGCTGCCGAACGAGCTGGTTGATGTGCGTCGTTCACTTCTTTCGTCCACGGGGTGTGCTGACGCTGTCGCCGCTCCTTTTCAGAATATCCTCGCGCAGAGGGAGGTTGCTGCGCTAGAGGCGATTATCATCTCGGACTACCAGGATCGATACAGCTGAAGGTATGCTCGAGAAGCATGTTGTTGAGAGCTATGTTGAACACTGTGCGGTATATAATCTATCCTTATTCAATGTTTACCTTGTCGTTCTAGCACCCACTTGCAGATATGTCTTTCGATATCTAAGCGCCTACGAAGCATGTATACATCGTGCGGCTCCGCCGTCGACGGGTTATTCAGAGGATGCTCATCGCCCCTATCAATGCCTTGGAATTTTAGTGCTTGACGACGCGTTATGTCTGCATTGTCCTGTCCAGACTCCACAGGTCCTGCCCAAACTCCACAGTCGGTGAGACAGGAATGTATGGTCGCGGGGTGAGACTCGGCATATACCATGCCGAGCACCGACTTTCAAGCCAGGCGGCGGCGCCTTCTTGGGCGCCTTCGAACCCTTGTTCCGCTTGTTCGAGTACCACATCGTGGTGCGTCGCCACGGCAAGGGTCAGGTGGCAGGCTCAAGTCGACATGTTGATTTGAGGCGCTCTCTGGTTACTCCATTTTCGCCAGTGACACTGTGCCGTCCTGTGGTGAGTCAGCGCGTATCGATCACTGCGTAGTTCGTGGTCGGACAGGATTCAGCATGTTCCGTTTCGGCAGCTGAGACCGTTGATGATGATGCTACTGATGATGGTATAACGTTAACGTCCAAAAAGGCGAGGGGGAGGAAGAGGAGGAGGAGGAACTGAGATTTACTTCTCGCGTAAAAGCAGCATGCACGTACGTTCAGTACCAGTAGTGGCTCGATGATAGTAGCAGACAGTAGCACTATGTAAACTGTGCCGTGTCTAATTATCCAAAAAGGGCGATACACCATATGTCGGACAGCAGTATGTTATACGCATCGCGGTAGTAACCCAGGGCTGGCCTGTGCTATAATTACTAAGAGAAATGTGCCTTTATACTCCCTTGCTTTGCTGAGAGCGTGCTGTCAACCTCTCGCTTCCTTTCTCTTCATATTTACTCCTTTCTCTCAACACACTTCTATTCACCATCAACATGTCGCATTTATTAGTAACATCGGGTCAGGTACCTCTTAATCCACTCAATCCTAGCATAGCCTATACAAGAGGCAAGTATCCACCATTCTTCTCGGGTGTGTAAAAAGGACTCACGCCTTGCGCACGGGTCTGCAGTTGCTATGGGCTCACTTGTGTTCTACGACTACCGTAAGTTTATTGTCCCTGTTCACGTGGGCTATAATAATAAGTGTGTACAAGACACGCCGCGCTACGCTCCGGCACTTTCTATCGACGTTAGCAATATTCATGGCTCGAGCTCACACCACTACAGCATATCACAATTTGCCCGAGGGCTTAGTTGAGGACAAAAACGCACCATAGATAATTGCACATATCACCAACAAAGTGTCGTTCTACCACGTTCGGGATTTGTTCGGGATAAACATCGCAGGCCAAGCTCAAAAAGGAAAACCCCATATCAAAACGTCAAACAAAGGTCAACAAAAGCCTACCATAATTTTGAAGATACGAGTTATACCAGCTCGCATAGATGACGAGGTAGTTTTCGAGCAGTGTCCCAGAGTCGATGACTTGCAGTTCTCATATATATATTTTCCTTTTTTTTCTTCCTTTATCAGATTCAGTTTATATGGGTAAGGTGCACCTCATGTCATGCAAAACATCCCGGTGTTGATCACTATATGGCAGATGAAGAAACCATCACTTGTGTCTGGACTGTACTTCGTGGTATGTGACATCGGCCTTTGGAGTGCCCAGTGTTTTCATGAGAGCATTATGTTTTAAGTCACGTTATGTCGGGATAATTTACATGGTGTGGGTAGACAACATTGCCCTTTATAAATTAGTACTCACAGCGGAGAAATCACAGGGCGGACATATGTGCGTGACCCACCGTGATTTGAAAATATGAGAGGGACTCACGTTTGACACAGTCGAGATCATTGCTGTCTCCGATTCGGTGAGGACTGGTCAATGATTGGTGTTTCTTAGAAGGCGTTACAATGCTCATTACTGTTTTTTTTTTGCAGTGAGCTTTATCTCCTCCCAGAGTCCGAAACGAAGTCATGGTATATTTCTCTCATTTGTAGATGTAAGCTTTATGTCAGAGAAAGGGAGGGCCAAAGTTGAATCGGTCAAATCTAGGCTACGCTTTTCAATTTTTGTACCGGGTCGTTCAACGAGAGGTGTATTGTGTGCTGCGATCACGGTAAGTGTCACTGATAATGGTCACATTCTTCTCAAATTCAAGGACTTCCACATGAAGGCCTCATGATTATGCGTGTATACGCAATGTCCGACCGATCCAGAGCGATATTATTGCTCCTTCTTGGGTGCTTGTTTGTCGAAACTTCGGTCTTCATTGTGACTGGGATAATCACACTTCTTCCTTCGAACGGGACCACAGGTAATATTTCTCCTCTTCAAACAATCTCATCTCACCATTTATCGCAGCGTCGACATACGATGTTGATAGTATCATATTTTGTGGCCTCGTTTCAGCTACTCCGGGTACCCTCGCGCCAACGGGGTGGGTAAACTCGACCCTCATCGGCTCAATTGCTGCCCTCGAGGTTCTTCTAGTTTCATTATCCATGTACAAATTCGCGCAAGATGCTTTGTACTTTGTGCAGGCTTGGCGTCATATCCTCAGACGTAAACTCATGTCAGACATATACTCGGTACTTATCAGAGATAATGTTTTTTGGGCCTTACTGTGAGTAATGATGCTATAAGTACCAGTTCTGTATTCTGACAGTTCCATAGAACACTCGTTAGCTCTTCTCTAAACTTCAAGACATCTGACTATCCACAGGTAATATTTTGATCATCGCATGAATACGCTTGCGCAAGTTGACGATATCCATTTCATAGTCACCTGATATCTTACTAGATATCGTGGCGGATGTCTTTGCAGCTTTACCATTGTCTATGATGGGGCCGCATCTTGTCCTCAGTATGAAAGCAGAAAGTAGAAGTGAACGTGGCAATCTAGAGGCAACCACACATGGTAGAGGTTCCAGCGGAGGCGAGTTCACTAGCGTCCTCTTTACGGATGATGACTACCAACGTGAGCTGAACTCCTCACACCATACATCTACAAGTTCGTAGTAAGGTGCAGATAACGAGTAGTTTTGGGACATTCCTCGCCGAAAAATTAGTTAGGATAGGAAACATCTGAACAGTATGATATCTTTGATGGACCTAAGAACACTGTGTTAAACACCCGATACTACTAGTACTATTATTAAGTAAAATGACTGACATTATTATATCACTCCTACTATTCATTTCAGAAACACTCGCAGCGCCTCAGTGTACATGTGTTTGGGGCGTAGCACCAATGATGCCAGTGTTAGGTTTTCGGGATCCTGCTTTGAACAGCACCAAGTCCAAGGGAAACCTCCGACTCTCTACTATACTACCGAGTCCATCGCGGCTTTATCCTCCTCTGCTCCTTTGTGTTGATTGCTATGCGGTATCCACTCTATCACAAATTTACATTTCACCCTTTAGTGTTCAAGAAATCTACCCTGAAATCTATTTTATGCTGCGACCCATTAACGAACAGTTTGCTCATGTTTTCTTGTTGCGTCCACGGCATCTACCATTGCAGGGACTTGTGCAAGGATCACTTCGAGCTTGAGCCTATCTTTGCTTCCACCGTCACGCTTTTGAGGTCTTTTGCAGCTCCATCTCCTTAATGATTAGCGTGAAGTGAAAGCCAAATTAACCACTTGGTATCCTTTACTATTAGCCACTCGAGGTCCACCACGCAAGCCGGTATTATCGGGCCGAACACCGGGGAGGCGGTGTAGGCCTTTTGCCCGCCACATTTCCTCTCCTTGATCGCCGCGGGCCTGACGTACATTTCACCATACACACGCTTCAAGCTTCAAGCGTCTCAGGGTGATATCCGAGTGCTTGGGAGAGAAGCATCATTTCGAGCAATGCACAGGTATGTGGTGCTGCCGCGCTAATCATGTTCATTCACTAGCATGCAGTTTCGAACCCTTCCCATACCAGAACTTTTGGATTGATCATTGTCTGGGACTACTAGTGATGATCTGTTCTATTATTGGAGTCTGATGATCAACAACACTGGGCATTCGGTGAAGCGTGGCACTGTCTTCCGCGTTGATTCAGAGTTCGCAGGCCATGGGCACGGATATATTGACCCGCTGGGATTCTCCACTTGGGTATCACTCTTGCCCGACGTGCTTGATTGCTGCTACTAAGACATGTCTTCCCCATATTCTCTTTCGCCCTCTCCGTTCGCTACTTTGCAGATCAATCTCACACCTACTCTTGGGCTTGCATTTGTCGGGATGGTTCTTGCATCAATGTGAGTGAATATATGTTTGTTTGGTGGGCTCTGCATCTCAGGCAATGTAGTCTTTATGGGTTTACAGTCCTACAAACAATATCCTACGTGAGTTGAGTAGATTATATTGACGGATAGTACGCACCTCTGACGACACGGTGGAGTATCGGAGGTATCCCAATGATCGACTATCACTAAAGATCCTGGTAAGTAGCACATTCTCCTTATTATGGAGTTTGACTCACACCGTATCAGGTTGGAGCCTTATGGTGGGTCAAGAAACATCGCCATTATATGCACACTAACAGGCAACCTTGCAGGTCCCTTAACACTACGTCACTGGCGTTCAAAGTGTCTGGTCTCTACACCTGGTTGGTCCTTGATTACGCACAGGTTCTTCTCCTTCCAGACGTCCCTTGGTGTGTTAGACGCTTATCTGATGAGTCATGCTGCCTAGGGCTAACTGTAGTCACACTCTAGGGGTATTTATGTGCGTATGCATTTTGTTTACTGGATTGTAGTCATGGGGTAACACACGTTAATATCCCTAGAACGAACCTGCCATCGTGGTAAGTACCAAGTTACTTCTAGTCTATAATTGCGTAATTACCCGCTATGGCAACCAGGCAGTGATCGCACTCGCTGTAAACTTGTGAGTACCCCCATGTTCAAGTAAATAGTCCTTATAAACCTTGTTGCCACAGGTTTCTGATATATCGCATATGGGTGTGTAAGTGGTTTAAGCATTTCTTTTGAACCAAAATACTGAAGGCATATTCGCGCGAAGTGCGAAAGACTTGGTGGGCCCTATCAGCAATACTAGTAAGTAGATTTGCATTGGTGAGGGTACAAGAGCTCATGTCGCTAAAGGTTGTTTGGGAGCTGGTTCCTTTCTGTGAGGTGTTGTGTCGAATGTGCGATCTTTCCACTTATAAATCATTACTCTCATGAAGGCATTTCAATGTGTAAGCTTCCAACCATACAAGAATGTGAATCTTGGAGCTAATAAAAAAAGTAGACACTGTTTGGCGACTGTGAGTTCATAGCTTGACCTCATAAACGCAACGTTCATGGACGAAAGCCAGAAATAAGGGAAAGTCAAGTCTTTACGGTGGAGGAGAACTTGGCGTGAGTTCTCTATAAAATTTATGAGTATAGGCTAATTTACCTTACAGTGGACTATGATTGCCGCACTCTCTTTGGAGAGTTCATTCAACCTTGTTGTTGCAGCACTACTCTGCTATCTTCTGAGGCAGGGTATCACCGGGTTTAAATCGTGAGTCCTAATAGGTAGGCGCTGTCGACCATTTTTGAACCTTGTATACAGAACCGAGCAGGTTATCCACTCGCTCACAGTTTATGTTATCTCGAGTGGACTTTCTGTAGCGTAAGCGTATATTTGCAGTCTTTGTGCCCAGAATGCAGTCTCTGACGATGACGGGCCTTTCAGGTTGGTAGAGTGGGCTAGCCTAATTGCATACTTCGCATCGAAGACGACACTTTTGTACCTTATGTTCGAGATGTGCATGTCGAAAGGTCAGGATTTCCGAGATCCCTTCACTTTCTTCACGCTCATACTACGCAGTATATGTCATGACTTTGATGGCAACGTATGCTCTACCTTCTATCAAGGTGCATGTTGTACTTACATTTGCAACTTAGTCTCAACGCACGCCAATCGATCCGAGCACCCCCGTCGCAGTTCATATACGAGCTGACAGTCCCATCTAACGGTCTCTCTTCATCTCGTATGGATGGAGAATCGGGTTTGCAAGACCACACAGATTATGGTCTGGTGGGAGTCATGTTCCTCCGGTCTCGAGATTACCTGCTAATAAGATGTTTCTCTCAGCATTCGCAAAAGTCGAATATCGCTCAGGGTGCAAGTGATGATCTAGGTGGATATCCTACAGTCGTGTAATGAGAAGTGACCGCCAGCTGCCGTCTTAAGTGACATATACCTTATTATTCAGATTATGTAACTTATCACGTCAATCGTGTTTGCTAGAGACTCTTGTTTGAAGCTGGATTAATGCCAGCGTTATATATGGTTCCCAAGTTACTTTGCATTGAGTGTAGATGATTACCGTTTGATGGCGTTTTAAACCAGTATCATTGGATATCAGGTTGCGCATAGTTGTGATAGATCCGAGCTTCTCTGTTCTACCCGAGTGTATAAGTTGTGAGAGGACAACGAGGTTCAGTTGACGTTCACCCTCCGGGCTTCCGTGTCAAGGAGGATGGCTTCGGCCTCCGGACCGACATTGCCATCGAGAATTGGAGGTTCCGATGCTGACCAACAGTGGCCAACGCGTCGCGTCTGACACGTCCACTCTCTTTTGCTCTCCATGAATCCCTGCCCCTTTCACCCCCTTGAACTCACTTGAACCGACTTTAATTTACCATCTGTGCCACTTCCTACGTGTATGCCCAATTTGCGCGATTGGCTCTCCAAGAATGACTGCGAGGCGGACGGAGTAGCGTCTTGTATAGCTCCGGACGCATCGCATGCGGCAAGAACCGTTGACGTGCAGCGTCTCGCTTAAGTTCAAACGGAACGCGACGGACCTACAAGGACTGTTCGACAACGTCTGACGGCGGGTTGAGTACACAGATGATAGCAAGGGGTGGACTAAGTGCGCCGTGTCCCTCCCTCCACTTTACACTTCTCTACTTACCTTGGCTTCCTCGCAGCTTCCTGTCTGCCCTCTTACCGCAAACCACCGATCAGATTGCGCGCGTCCTCGCGCAGAACGGTGCTACTGCAACGACCTCATACACGTCAACATCAGGAGCGTTCCTGGTCGGCGCGGATCGACGTAGCCCTGTCTCTGCCACTCCTCTTTCCGACGCGTCGTTCTTCGCATCTCCTGCCGCATTTTAAACTGCTGGTGGCCCCAACGAACCGGTAGAAGGCCCGTCTCCGTCGCTCATCCCCCATGGCACCATCCCGCAGCCCGCTGGAATCGTCACGCCCTCCACCGTCGGCCCTGATACCGCGGCTATATCCGTCCTTATGCAGACCACAGAGGGATCAAACGCAGCGACGCCGAAGAAGCAACCCAAGCGTCCCATCGCTTCGTTCTCCGCCCTCTTCGCGCAGCCCCAGGGTTACGTCTTAGGAGGTGATTTTGCGCGTGTGTCGGACACGATTGTTCGATGGACATGTCTTTGTTGATAACATCAAAACGTAGAGGGTGCACCTGGCGGGTCTACTGCCCGGTCTGGCGGGGTGCATTAAGCTTGCGCTCGAGGGGTTGCCGAAGGAGTTGGTTAGTGTAGTCGTTTCACCTTTCTCCCTCGTTCACGGTGTATACTGAGACTCTCTTAATCGTTTGAAGAACATCCATGCACAGAGTGAGGCTGATTCGCTGGCCGTCATTATCATTTCGAACTACCAGTATCAACTCTATTCTTATCTCCTTTCTCTACTTTCGGTTATTCTATCATTTTACGCTAATACCCACCATCAAACAGTCCTATCAGTGGTTTCTTGCTGCTTCCAAAGTATCTAAGGATTACTGTACTTTTACGACCGTTCGCTCGTGGGAGAATAACTTCCTAATCCGGATGTCCCGCTTTCTGGCTCGCGGGTCGGGATCGATGCGGGACACTTGGCTCGTCAGGGGTTAATTATTTTGAATGTCGCGGGACACGTCGCGTTCGGCGTCGGACATACCTGGTCTCTATTCCCCGGCTGACAAGGTAACTCAGGGAAATCATAGCTCGATGAAGTCTCCTCGCGCGTGCTACACATTACTGACAGTTCTTTGTTCGTAGGTTTGTGAGCCATGTGTCAACAGAATTGGCCTCCAGTCTTTACTGGCGGGCAGCACTTCCACCTCACGACGCACATCTGTCGATGCTCGGCCCTGCAGCAGCTAAGGTGAGCTTGACCGAAAGCTTTTGTTTCATCCCTGGATTTCTGAAACTCTAGCACCACGTTCATCTGTCACCTCCACGAAAATCGCGCTCAAACCGTATGGGATGCTCTCAGTCAAGTCATGGCGTGTTGACGTATAAAGAGACACATTATTTTGCTGTAGAATGACTGGCAGTGCGTCTTCCCCCCCCCCCCTTTCATGCCTCCTCCTCCTCTCATCCAGGGGCCAGGGAACCGAAGGGGGAAGCGTCGTAAGGTATCTAACAAGAAGTTCGACGACTTTCTGGGTCATTAGATCACTTGTAATTGCTCTAGATTTTTTTTTCGAATTTATTCGTATTTTTACGCTATTTTTACCACTTGTCCCGCTTTTTGGCTCGTGAGTCCTCAAAGAGGTGGGACAGTCCCGCCTAAATGGCTCGCTCGCTCAACCCGTGGGACATGGGACGAGCGAACAGTTGTAAAAGTACAGTATTTGATGGCGATGTGAACGAGTCTTTTTCACCAGAACACCGAACACTACAACAGCACGTTTCCAGCTTTGCCGGATGCTCTCTTGTTATGGCTGAGTCACCTCAACAGCTTTTCACTGCTATTGCTCATGCAATGTTGAGTACGAGTCATTGTTTTCCAGAAGCAAAGTAGCTGCCTTGCTCATTATTATCTGGCCATCTCTAGGGTATTGGAGCATGCTGTGCAAGGGCTTTCAGCACCGTGATATCAACATCGGTAATGTGCTTCTGAGCAGGATTCCTCAGAAGAAGAATTCTGTGCTGCAGAAGGTATCAGACCTACTCTCGCCTCAGCAGCGGGACGAAATAGGCGACCGGTCAGAGACTCTGGAGAAGATCCAAAAGTCCTTGAATGCGCTTGAGATAGACGAAGGCTGCAACAGTTTCAGGATATGCAGGCAGCCAGTGCCGACAACGTCGTGCCAGCGGACGGGCCATTTCGGCGACAACATTGTGCCAGCAGACATCCACGGACGGCACGATAGCACCGTGTCCGCGGACCGGCGGCGCACCTGTGATACACAGGATGTCAATGAGTG